ACGATGCACACTGTGAAACAAACCCCCATAGCCTTCAAAGCGCAGTCTTTTCTCACTAAGAGCCAGACATTGTCAACTCCGAGCACACCTGCATTGAATTGGTCTTGCTCACTCTGCAGCGTGTTGTTATGGCTCACCAAAGAAACTCCAAAGCACCTCTTACAGTGGGGCTGTTCAACCAAGTTTACACAGGGGCCAAAACTTTCAAAAACTGGGATCGACATAGGCCAGATGCCCCAGTTTCAGCACAGAGACATCATTAATGCCATATACCTGGCAATGATCCACGGGCCACAAGCTAGGCCTCTGCGGGCCGCCAACTGAACAGCCCTGTCTTACAGGGTTGACCAGATTTTGCCAGTCAGAGAGAAGAAATCTGGCCACAGGATTGACCCTACAAGATAAGCTATGAGGCATCAGTAAAGACCTTGAGTGCACCATTCATTTTATGACCAATATTGGAATAGATGAGTAGTAAACCTTGATTGTGGAAGAAGTAGAAGGTGAAGAAGAGCACAGGCGCATAGCTCAACCACTGAACAACAGACACTCCTTGTTCTAAAAACGATAACTTTTTATTTCATGCAGGACTCAGGCGACACCAGAACCAAACAGAAATTCATTCCAAGCAGATTCAGGTTCAACAGCACCAATCAAATACAGGTATGTTTGGAGTTGTACTCACTTTCTACTGTTCAGCAATGTGATGGATAATTCTGTGTTAAGACCTTAACTCTTTCAGTACCATGGACTGCCCGTGTGAGGGAAAACAAGAATAGACCACTGCCTCCCCAACAAGCATGTAGTAGGAGTTGACTAATTGGGGGCTTCCTTCAACCAGGGAGTGCATCTGCCTGTGGGGCAAGGAACAACCAGCTGCACACAAATAAGCCAGTAAAATGGATTTACATGCTAAACTCACATGCACAAAGTCAAAATTCAAATGGACGAACAACCAGGACTTTTTGCCGAGCTTACAGTCGCTGAACAAAGAAGAAGCACTATGGACATGTAGTTGAGTCCATTCTTTTCTTGAAGGTTTTTACTTTAAGTATTTAATTTTTTTGATTAGAATGACTTACAACAATAGTACATTGAAAACAAAAGTAACAATAAACAAAAGTAACAATAGTTTATATAACAACTGAATGTGGTGTGAAGAGTTTGGAAAAATGGATAATGTGAATACAGAACCCAGCAAATGCCTGGCACATTGCCTGCTACTGAATGAGTTAATGTATAAGTAAGTGAGTTATGACTTGGCTTCTCTTCACGGCACTCCGGCCATGAAGATAGGTGCTCAGATTCCCCCTTCAACATATACATAAGAGTCCCGCGGTGGTTAGTCTCTGTCTTATTTTGGTTGACAAGACTTCTCCTGTGCCAGGTGTGCTTCTCATGCCTCGCTGTGCCGATCTTAACTCTAAGTTCTTGCACTGATAGCAGAGATGTGGATGTGCTGCTCCCAAAATCCTCCGATCGTCCTAACTCTCTGAAGCATTAACAATGTCTGCATGATCCACGGGCCTGCCCTCTGTAACTAAGGCAGAGCCGGCTAATCTAGCATGATCTTTAAAGGACTTTGTGTATTCTTTTTGATGATGTTATCGTTGTCTGTGTCGTATCCTGATTAAAACAATTTAGCCGTAAGGTTAATTTTTTTGTTCTTGGTTGTGTTATTTGGAGTTGATTGGCTCTACTTTTTACCTTGATATATTTTGTATTAAGGTGTGTTTGAAACATGCAGCTTATGTAGTTTGTGGTTAATTGCAGTTGTTGCATTGATCTCTTAAATAGCAACATATTATTAACTATAATTAATTGACAACAATTTTCACTCAGGTGATCTGATTATCTATACAGATGGTTTGGTGTTGAGAGGAAAGAGAAGTGCCTGGGGGTTCGTAGCGAAAGCCATTGGAAAATCTTTAGTGCAAGACAGCCTGGCATATGATACAACATCTAGCATGAGAATGAAGGTGGAGTCGGTAACTGCGGCTCTCCAGTGGCTAGAAAACAAGATGCATACACGTGTCGTAATTGTAACAGACTCTGAAAGCATGTTGAGAAAGGTGGAGACAGGGTTGTTTCGAGCAGAGTGGCAAGCTTCACTGGAAAGATTAGTGAGCGTGGTGGGTAATGAACAGGCAGACAGATTGGCTGGATCTGCACCACTGGGTGGTGAATTAATGCATGACAAAGCAGACGTGGTCAAGGCCCTTTGGGAACAAGGAACGGACTCTGTAGAGATAGAAGATTAATATGACCTGGAGAGAATGAGGCATCGGGGTGTAACCAGAGGGTCTGGCCGGCTCACTACACTCAGAGGAAAGGCAAGATATACATATAACCAGATTGTGACCGGTACCATCAGTATTGGAACTCTATGCTGGCTGCTGAAGATGAGGATGGAGCACACATGGGAATGCCCCAAGTGCTATGATGTCAATTCTTGACTCAACTCAACACAACTCATAAATTATAATTGTCAAATGTTGTGTATATTTAGTTCATTAGTGAGTTGAAAGATCATTCTCGTTACACATCAAATTAAACAGCCTTTTCTTGCTCAGATCCGTCCTCACTAAAACCCACAGCATATATTGGCACTGGTACAGGTTGTGTGTTGGTTTATTTGAATATCTAGGCTTCATAATAAACAGCAGTGGAGACTGCTAAGTCTATGGTTAAGCACCAGCAAAAAAAAAGTCAAAGTCAAAATTTTGTGAGCATGTATCTTCTCTGTAGCAACATACGGATGTGAGTCATGGACTGTCTTACACTCATTCAGCTTTTGCACTAAATTCTATAGAATTGTTCTCAGAATACTTTGGGCAAAGAAGAAAAGAAATACTGACATCCTAAAAGATCTGAACATGACGGAAGATTGGCTAGTCAACAGCACCTTTTCTCAGAAACTGGAATATTTTAGCCATATCAAGCGCCATGGCAGATTGAAAAAAAAAATAGCAGAAGGCATGATACCAGGAAGGAGAGGCAGGGGCCGACGAGCACGAAGATGGACACAGGATATAAGTGACACTTTGGGTGGGGAAGTGCACAAGGTGGGAGATCAGGCAAGAGGCAGAGTTTCTTTCAGGCAGATGCAGATCAGAGCAATGTTCTGCAAAAGACCGACTATATGACACAGTTTTTTTTCTTTCTCTTCTTATTTGCCATGTGGGTTCCAGTGCCCCCGTTGGGGGATGGGTGGGGGGGGGGATAGACCCACCTACTGCTAATAAGCATGTCATAAGAGGTAACTTCTAAGGTTTTGCTGAAATTGAATGTGTTGGGCTGAAAGATGTCGATATCGTAGCCTGGCAGCAAACCGCAATGTACCAACCACCCTGTTCAGGGCAAACACAGAAGAAGAAACCCACTGCCTCTTTACCAGCATGACATAGATGGTAACTAATTATGGTGTTCTGAAATTTGATGTTTTGGGC